TTAAAGGTTATGAAATTGATAATCAAGGTTTCTTCTCTAAAATAGACCCCAACCAGATACTAGGCTTTGTCAATCTGACATGGCTAAAATAACCATCTCTAGGATCTCCTTCTCCCACTATCTTCTCCTCTCTCTCTTCCACGCTTTCTTCTTTTCCCGTTCTCTTTTCAGGTATAAAGGATGATAGCAATATTCTCCGAGTGGACGATTGTTACTAACAACAGTACATCCCTATCCTAACCCTTCTGATAAGGGTTGCTACTGCATTTAGGATGAATAATATAGTGAAATTCACACTATGGACATATTCATGTCCTAAACAGGACAGGAGAATCCGAACATTGTCATAATAGAAATTCAAGTGATTATATATCATTCTATACCAATTTTGAGAATTTAAAAAGTCTACTTCCTCCTCGAAGGTGCAAGAAGGCCCTCGTACTTCTGGATTCTGTGAATTTTTAGGACCTTAATTAAGTGTAGGACCATCAAATCTAGGACCTAAATCTATTTTTTGATGTTTCCTCCTAAAAATTTTTATATATATCACAAGTTTTTTTGGTGTACGGAATCGGTTTTTATTCCGATATTATTATTTTTTTTAATTTAATGAATCCTACCTTGACCTCTAATTTCGCTGCGATTGTGAACATTTCGCGAAGATTTTATACAACAGAAGATAGTTACAAAACACCAAAATAATGAAATTGAACCACCAATAACACAAGTAATTACAATTATAACTATAAGAAATGTTGGCATTCTATTTGCTTAATTAACAACAAATAAAAATATTTTTAAAACCGCACTGTTTATATCACAATGAGAAACTAATTCCTGTTAGGAAAATGTGTATATTGACCGAAATTAATTCGTTATCAAGAATAACATTTGGCCAAATGGCGATAAGATTAAAAACTAACGTTTTTCCAATTGAGAGTCCCTAGTTATGCAGATAAAGACAGAGAGCGCATGTTTGATTTACAATTTTTTGTATTTCCCCTTCAACAAAAAATATGTGGTTAAACAGAACTAGTCATAATGGTCACATTTGCAAATGTTATTTCCTTGAATATGATGCCTAGTTCAGATTTGAAATGCATTTTTATCAAGTTGGAAATCAGATTTTATGCTAAAGAGAGGCATTAAAAAAGAAGACATATGTAACAAAAAAGGCGTTTTGAAAGATTACGTAGGGGGGCTCCATATGACTAGAATGACGAATCGGAGTAAATGTCGCCACTGACGAAAGATTTAAAACGATTTAACGTTTTCTCTTTATATCACCAAACGTATATAGTGTGTTCTCAAAACACATAAACGTGCAATAAAATATCGAGGAATAATATACAACTTTAACCCATGAACGAGCCCTCTAATTAGAGAGACAATCGAGGTGGGGATTCGTGAAAGAATAAAAGTTCAAGATTTGAACTTTTAAATGTTAAGGATGGAGAAACTGAAAAGAATTGCAGTGTGACCGGAAAGAGGAAGTCGACAATTGCAGCCTGAATGATGAAGCTGGCCGAGTTTATAACAAAAATGTTCGCCATAAAGTTTTAGTTTACCGTTTGCCATAATAGACTAAAATCAAAGTAACCTGTGCTGTCAAAAATTTGTAAAAAAAACCAAAACTCATTTTAGGGTTAATATCGTACTTATCCACAATATGGCATAATTATTACCCATGTAATTTTTTCCATAAATTTGCCTTTGACTGTATTCAGCTTTCATGTGTTCAAAAATTGCTAAATAATTTATATTTTAAAATATATTTTGAAGTTTCCCGTCTCTAAAACTTGTAAGATGTAACAAACAAACTATTTATTTATATTCAATTGTTTTTTTAAGAAATTCGAAGTATAAAATTAACTGAAGTCGGCAAAAAAATTTTGTCATCATATATAATTATATACTGTAAATTTCTTAAAAACTATTCAATATAAATCGGCAGAAAGTTAGAGTTAAGTGGTAGTTGTGTAGGGTATCATATTGTCGGGCCCGTTCAACTATACTGCTCCGCTCCCTGGTTTACTTTTACATTTTTAAAGCTGAAAATTTGCTATGTTTTAGTTTCTATAATTTTTCTATTAATTTATAATTGTACAGTGATTTTTTCCTTTTTCCCGATAGAAAAAAACCGCCTCATTGATAACACTGTTTATGCATTCTGCAATCAGCTGGCAGACATCTGTGGTATGATAACAGAGGGAGAGAAAGAGACAGAGAAGAGCCAAAACAACTTGTTGGCATTGAGAGGCATTTGTCATGCCAAAAAACGTTTGGAGAAAGACAAACAATGGATATTGAACAGAGATACAATTCCACACTGTAACCGTTACTTAAAAATATAATTTCGAAATTTTTAATAATTTAAATATGACAGTTTTTTACAATAACATTAAAAAGAAACTGTCTTTAATTCCATGTATTGATTTTTCAGTGACCTAATGTCAAATTTTTCTAATTAGACTAATAAAATTGATTTAATTAAATGATTATTAAAAGTATGTAGGAAAAATATATAATAAGAATCATATTTGAATGAATCTTGATAAGAAATCATTTCGCCAGCATCATTTTACATTTTTTTTAAATATTAGAATGGCACGTGCATTTTAATTTCAAATTGAATTGATTTTAGTTAATTATTTTTTATACATGTGGAAAGATAACGATCTAGTAAGTTTATCAGCGGTCCATTTAACCCCAAGCACCAAGTGACTAGTTATACGTCAAATAGTTTAACACATGTTAAAATTGATTTCAAAACTACACAAAAAAATATTGTGACCCAGGTCAGGTTTTGCAAACTCAAGTTCATCGACAGGTCAGTTTAAAATTATTGCATTGATGACATTTTTATATTGATTTTCAAAAAAAGATAGTTTATTGCAAACTGAATAACATTAATCACACGATTGATTAATTAATTATACCAATATAGTAGAAAAAATATATTTTCAAATTTGTTGTTGTTTTTTTTTTAATTTTGGCCATGTCAAATAACAGTTCAAGTTCATTGTTAATTTTTTTCTGAATGCATAATTTTTTGCATAATTATTATATTAAAATTGGTTGTTATCTTTTCTTCTTTTAAATTTTATTTTGTTTCTATATTTAATGATGTGGGTTTTGAGATCAAATTGTATTCGATTGTGATTCATCTTCTCATCTATATTTTTGTGATGATAATGATTGTGAATATGCAAAATATTGATACAGAGATAAAAACAAAATGACATATTTTTATGCATCCCCTTGGTCTTTAAACGGTACAATAAAATGTACACCTTTAAAAATATAATATGAGGTTTGAATAGAGGGTGGGTTGTATGTGTTGATGATAATAACATTCATTTAAAATCTATTCAGGACACATTTAAAATTAACATATGAATGAATTATTTATAATTAACATTAAAAGGAGGAAAGGGGTTGCATTCTGAGAAACCCCACAGAAATTGAGATTCAAATGAAGACAAACATAGGCTTCGTTCAAGAATTTGATTTTTTTTTAAACAAATTTTTTCCGTACAAAAAACTACCAAACCGTTATGTTATATTTAATCAAAAATAAATGTAAATATCAATACATGGTAGTTCTGTTCTATAAACTTTCAAAATTTGGCAGTATTTTAGTCTATTCAGAGAAAACTGTTCTGTAATCGAAAATCCACGACGGACTTACAACTGATCAATTGATGATAGGACCTTACAACGACTCATGTGGGCATTGGAAAATATTTTTTTACAAATCCATGTCTCATGTGGGCTTTGGAAAATATTTTTTTTTACAAATTCATGTCTCTTGTCGGCATTAAAAATATATTTTTTTAAATCCACGCATAATGTGGGCATTTAATTATCCACGCCTCATTATTTTCAAAATTCACGCCTTGGTTGCGTATTAAAAGATATTATTTTTAAAACTTCCACGCCTTAGTGAATATTGAAAACATATTATTTAAAAAGAACGCCTTGGTTGGTACTGAAAAAATATGGTTTTAAAATTTCACGCCTAAAAATCATTTGAAAATATTCTTTTGAGAATTGCTCGCTTTAGTTGGGCATTGAAAAAATATTCTATAAAAAATCTACGCCTCTGTTGGACATTAAAAAATATATATTAAAAAATCTAAAAATCATTTGGACATTGAAAAAATATTGTATAAAAAATCTACGCCTCTGTTGGACATTAAAAAATATATATTAAAAAATCTAAAAATCATTTGGACATTGAAAATATATTGTATTAAAAATCTACGCCTCTGTTGGACATTAAAAAATATATATTAAAAAATCTAAAAATAATTTGGACATTGAAAAATATTCTTTAATAAAACTACGCCTAATATCGGCATTGAAAAAAAGTGTATAAAAATCCACACCTCGTAGGGATCTTAATAAATATTCTCTAATAAATCCAGGACCCGTTGGACATTGAAAAAATGTAGTTCAAAAAATTTACGAATCCCTCTAAACTATGTTATAAACGTAACCTAAAAACGAATAATTATCACTGAATTGCATTTTTCATATTTTATCTTATTTACATTATCACATTTGAGGTTAGGTCTTTTGTCCTATTGAATTAATTTACACTGCTCCAGGAAATGCAAGCATTAAACGAACCACAACCAAAAGAAAGCAACTTTTCATCAATAAACGGTATTTTTATTAGTTTCATCTTTATGCTCATCTACCACCATGTTTTTCCCAAAACTTGTCAAATCACATTGTAGCACCACCACCATCATCTTTTACTGCAAGATCAAACCGTACCCATTTTGAATTTAATTTATGCATCGGCATTCTTAACCCCCTTCTTTTGTGTGTTTGTTTACCTATTCGTAATAGATGATAATTTTAACTTGGTATTAATTTTTTGTCTTTCGATTTTTATTTTTTCTTCTTTTAGTGTCTCTTCAACCTCTGAACGTGTCACACATCTCCCAGCACACTCCATCACCATCAAACTGAATTTGCCGCACACAAGAAAATCCACACCGACTGTGGGGAGATGATACGACGCGTCTTAACATACAGTGTTTTGGGCGCCAGTGCCGTTGGCACCGGCCTTAGCCTACACACCAATGATTACGACATCAATTCGTTGGGAATTGTACGGCTGAGCCGTTCCGCCGTGGCTGTCATCGATGTGGCTATGACGTATAAACGGGAATTGTACTATCGTGAATGGGATAAAAATTCCGCAGAATATAAGGCCGAGAAAAGTCGGGTACATACAATGGCTGCAGAACGGTTGCTACAGCTGATATGTGTCAATAAGGGAGTCTACATTAAGGTGGGTCAACACATCGGAGCCCTGGACTATTTGCTGCCCAAGGAATTTGTACAAACCATGAAGGTGCTACATTCAAATGCCCCCCAGAATCCCATAGAGGATTTGTATAAGGTGATCAAACAGGATTTGAAACGTAATGCCGAGGATATATTTGATGATTTTGAAAGGGAACCGCTGGGAACGGCATCTTTGGCTCAGGTCCATAAGGCAAAATTGAAGACGGGTGAAGTGGTGGCCGTCAAGGTACAACATCCCTATGTTAAGGGCAATTCCCGTGTAGATATGGCCACCATGGAATTGGCGGTGAAAGTGCTGGCTCTGATTTTTCCCGACTTTAAAATCCAATGGCTGGTCGATGAATCGAAAAAGAATTTACCCATCGAATTGGATTTCCTCAATGAGGGTAAAAATGCCGAAAAGGTACAACAACAATTTCAAAAATACAAATGGCTCAAGATACCTCACATCCATTGGGATTTTTGTTCACCACGCGTCCTCGTAATGGAATATATTGAGGGTGGCCAGGTCAATGATTTGGAGTACATTAAACGCAACAATATCGATCCCTTTTCCATTGCCAATAAAATTGGTCAACTATATTCGGAAATGATATTTAATACCGGGTTTGTACACAGTGATCCACATCCGGGTAATATATTGGTACGCAAACAACCGGGTAAGGAAGTGGAAATTATCCTGCTCGATCATGGGCTGTATGCAAATCTCACCGATAAATTCCGTTATGATTATTCGAAATTATGGTTGAGTATCCTGAGTGTGGATCGTGTGGGTATGCGTAAATATTCTCAGAATCTGGGTATAAAAGGTGATCTATATGGGCTGTTTGCATGTATGGTGACGGGAAGGCCGTGGGAGACACTGGCGAAGGGTGTAAATAAAGTCAAATATTCCAAAGAGGAGGTGAGTTCGAAAAATTATTCTCAACTACATTAAATGTATTAATTCTCTCTTTTCTTTCCCCCTGCAGAAAGATACCCTGCAACAAAACACCTCACTTGTACTACCTCACATCTCGGATGTCCTCGAGCAGGTCGATCGTCAAATGTTGCTGATTTTAAAAACAAATGATTTAATACGCGGCATCGAATCAACGCTACGCACACAAAATCGTATGACCGCATTTTGGGTTATGTCCAAATGCTGTCTTCGCTCGTCATTTGGCGAAGAGAAATCTGTGGCAAAAACTAAGTCAAAGCGATTGGGACTCATATTACGGGAACGATGGGAAATATTTAAATTAAATGTCTATTATTTATATTTGGGTCTAATTAATTTTGGACTAATGGCTGCCATTAAGGAGTTGCTATGACATTAAAGAGCAGGACGAACAATAGCTATTCTTAAATTAAGTAATTTTTTTGTTGTTTTAGATAATTTTTTAATGTAATTATTTTGAGTGTAATGTGTAATTTATTTTTTGTAAAATAAATTTGTAAGCTTTGTAAAAAAAACGAAGAAAAAGAAAAAGGATGCAATTTTTAATTGGAAAAATATTTTTAAAACATCCACACCTTGGGTGGTGATTGAAAAAAATATAATATAATATATATGAAAGAATTAAAAACATGGTATTGAAATTTCAATAAATTACCTCTATGTTGTTCTAGAGCAAGCTGTCTCTGGACTTGACGCCGCTTATTCATGGCCAACTTTAAAATGAAAAGAGAATGGAATATATTTTTATTTGAAAATTCGAATATTGTTGATGTTTCAAAGATTTTCAATTAAAATTCCATTTGAAATGGGAATCATAATGTTCGAAAATAAATAAAAATGAAATCTATATTTAAAAAAAAATACATATAATTCGAACATTTATTTCCCTCAACATTTCAGACAATAAATTTTAATTGAAAATTGCTTAATAAAACAAACAACATCAACTAACCCTTATCAAAACCAGACCCACAATCAGGAGCAGCATAAGGAAAATCACATACAAATAGGCATACGAAAAGTATGGATATGTATATGTTGGAGTAACAACAACACCAGGATAACACGTTGGACAGTAGGGTTGCCATTCACCCGGATAAGTGGTCCAATTTCCGGTTCCATTCCAGTATGGTGACAAATTGGAAATATTCCAATACGACGATTGAGTTGTTGTTGGAAATGACAATGTCCCGTTATTGGCCAATGATGATATTACGGTTGTTGTCAAATTCACACCCAGAGGTGAGCTGGTTGTATACTGGTTGCCGGCATATAGCGGAACCGTTGTCGTGGTGGATACATTTTGAATATCCAAACGCAAGGCCGACAACATTTTTTTTTTTTTGGTTTTTCAAAAAATTTTCAAATCACTTTTTCACTATCCTCACTGTTGGCGAACGTCGTACTCATAACCCGTTTGTTATTGCAACTAACTGATTGAAGGAGAAACTGTTTGAAATTTCGCAATTTCAATTTGGTGAAAAACGAATCGACTCAACTTTCTTAAGCCAATTACATACATTTATTTCGTTTTTCGATAGATAAAAAATTGGCCAAAAACAAGACGGTGGCATTTTAAGTCAGTGTATTATTTTTATCACCTGGTTGCTTGCTACTGGTCTTTGATTTGTATGTGTGTGTTCGGTTGTTGCTGTTTGTGAATCAAAATTATTTATCTATTTTCGGTAAAGTACACTCGTTTTTATTTGTAAATATATATCGGACATGAGGACTGAAAATTATTGGGCGCCGTAAAATTTTTCAAAGTCCAAAAGAGGGACTTTGAAAATTAAATATACGAGGCGTGGATTCCTAAAGGGATATTTTTCAGGGTCTATATGAGGCGTGGATTCTTTAAGGAATATATTTTCAGGGTCTATATGAGGCGTGGATTCTTTAAGGAATATTTTTTCAGGGTCTATATGAGGCGTGGATTTTTTTCAGGGTCTATATGAGGCGTGGATTCTTTAAGGAATATTTTTTCAGGGTCTATATGAGGCGTGGATTCTTTAAAGAATATTTTTAGGGTCTATATGAGGCGTGGATTCTTTATATAATATTTTTTCAGGGACTATACGAATATCTTTTCGGGGACTATACCAGGCGTGCATTTTTTAAAGAATATTTTTTCAGGGTCTATATGAGGCGTGGATTCTTTAAAGAATATTTTTTAGGGTCGATATGAGGCGTGGATTCTTTAAATAATATTTTTTCTTTTCAGGGACTATACGAATATTTTCTCAGGGATTTTTTGTGGATTTTTTAAAGAATATTTTCTCAGGGACTATTCGAGGGTGAATTTTTTAAGGAATATCTTTTCATAGACTACACGGGGCGTGGATTTTTTAACGAATATTTTCTCAGGAACTATTCGAGGTTAAATTTTTTGAGGAATATCTCTTCAAAGACTACACGGAGCGTGGATTTATTAAAGCTTATTTTTTAAGGGACTATACGAGGTGTGAATTTTTAAAGAATATTTTTTCTTTGTTAGTTCTACAGCTTTTCAGCCAATTTACTATTTATTTACATACTCTTGTATGTATGTGTGATATATCAAAAATATTTGAAATCGATTTCTATAAATTACCATAGATAAGATAGCATAGATATATCAAAAGAACGATTCACATTTTCTGTGTGTGTGTGGGTATGGGGTCTTACGTATATTTATATATGAATATATTGATTACAATCCGATATAAGAATTCACACAATGTCTTTTTTATGAAATTTAATTACAAAGATAATCAAAGAAAAAAGTAATAAAAAAAATAAATAAATTTTACGTTCCCAAGTACAAACTTTCACGAAGACTTCGGGACTACCAGAACTAATTTGTTTCAATACTAAACATTAAAACAAAATATAATATGCCAGACCTGGTATTGATTCTCCAAACAATAATGCTTTAATTTCGCCGATACATAATGTACGTCAAATTCAACAAGTTAGTTGTGCTCAAATGCTTCACTCTATCCAAAGGTCGAATTAGAATACATGTAAGGAAACTGAATTTTAGGTACGTCTAAGCAGTATCACTGATAGAAATTCATTTTCAAAGATATTTATTCATAGATCTGAAGAACAAAATATTGCGTCTTTGAAGCGTGGACTATTTTTCTAATTGAGGCGTGGACTTAAAAATATATGTTTTCAAAAAATCAAAATTCGTTTTTTTAAGAAATTCTCCCGGCCTTTTCCCACATTTTTGCAAATAAGAACGCATCATGTTCACAATAATTTATAATTTTTTTTTCAATATTTGATGAATTTTTTTATGGTATTATAAAAATTCTGCGTTTCTTGTTGTTTTATTTTTAAAATTTATTATGGGATATACTATGGTATTGTTTTGTCATGAAAGGCAAATTTATAACAACATTGTGGTGAATGGATGGATGGTAGGTAACTGGCCTTATTTCAATTTTTTTTTTTGCGAACAACATGTGGCGGATGTTGTTTTGCTTGCCAAATCTGTAACTTCTTCGACCTTCAGCCATCAAACAAAAAAATCTAAAACATTGTACGATAAGAGATGCAACACCACGCATTTTCAATTTTTCAATAGCTGCAGCAATTAGTCTTTATTGTTGTCGTAGAGCAATTAAAAAAATGTCTCTTTTGTTACCTCAAAAAGATAAACAACAGAAATCTTATCACAGGTCTATGAACTTCCATTGATAGAAAGACAAAACTGGATGTTGAAAGAAGTTAATCAGCATTGTATAAATATATGATTTAGAAGATAGGGAATTACAAAAATTAAAATTAAAGAAGCTTATGAGCGGAGCAACAAGATTTAAAATAATGTTTTCACTCCTTCTTTAGGAACTACTGTCAGCTTTTGATCTGAGTCCATTAACTTGGGCAAGCGTGGTTAATGATCTTAAGACTTCGGTGTTGGCTAAACGAATTAGAGTCGGAGAGATTCAGTTTTGGTTATGCCATTTTATTTAATCAAATACATCGCTTACATATTAGGATAAATAGCTAAACCTTACATTAATCTATAATTAAACATAATAGTGCAACATCGTGCTGTGTTTAATTTTTTTTTCAATCTCCTGCAGGGATATGACCCTTGTGGAACTGATAACAATTTCTCACTAAAGAACTAAAATTATTCAAAGGAAATTTGTCCAATTTTGTAAAACAAAAATCTTTAATTAGATTACTTACCCGATTGTTGTTCCACAGCCTTCAATTGGCGGGACATTAAAAAGTATTTATATGTTAAAATGGCAATCTGAAATAAAAATAAAGAATATTAAAAAAAAATGTTTGTCAGGACACATTTGTAGGAAATAATGAATGGTCAGGAAATGAATATTTAAAAAAAAATAATGAGAGCCTAAGCAGTGAATTTTATAAAAAATATTTTCAATTCAATTTCAATTTATTTCATAAACGAGAATCTAGCCCAAAGGGCCAAAAGCGATTCAAAAAACAACAAAAAATAAACTACTCCAAAAGCTTAAAACTAACAGTGTATTAGCTTAATGATAACTTAACGTCTATTCAGTTGGAGGGGTTCAGAACCATTGTACTTCAAAAACATTTTTATTATTATTATTATTCCATTATTTGATGTAGCGACCTATCACATAGGGCAAAGGACTTCAATATTATATCTACTCTCAACCACTAAATTCAATTTACAGGTTCAAATATCTTATTATTATATCACAATTATCAATAAAAAAAATATAATTTATTATAGTTATATTTATTTAAATGTTGAAATCAGTTATGCAATAAAAACACAAACAAATAAGCAAAACCCATGAATTTAAGATGAATTGAGGTTGAAGTAATCGTATAAATGAGTTCGATAACATTTTAAGGAAGAGTTAAAAGTTTTAAGAGAAGGCGGTAAGGTGTTAAAAATTCTAGCAATTCGTACAAAAAAGGCTTTTTCCAATAAAGGACACAAACGCGGAACAAGTATTTGTATGTTTCTAACAGATCTAGAAAACATAAACAAATCAACTACAGAGGAAATCTGCAACTTAAATACCTTATACAACAACATTGACCTTAAACTCACAAAACTTTCAAAGGTACAACCGAGGAACTCTTTAACGTAAGGAGAAATGTGATCACGACGTTTAACACAATATACATATCGCATAACCCTATGGAACAAGAGTTTAATTTTACGTAATACATATCCACAACAACCCCCAAAAATCTCAATACAATACAAAAAATTTGGCATAATCAATGCATGGGCCAATTGAATTCTAATGCTCTTAGGTGGAGCCATATCCAAAGAGTACAACTTTCTTAAAATAAAGTTTACCTTGGACACCAAAGAATTAACATACACATCAAACACCAAACTACTATCAAGAAACAAACCAAGACATTTTATAGAGCTTACAACATTTATAGAATTATTATAAATGGAAACATTTACTGAATTCTCTTGCAAATTCCCAAAAAACATAGCTTTACTCTTTCGTGTACTAATTGAGAGTCCGTTTGCAGATAACCACGTTACTAAGGCGTGGAACTTTTTAAAAGCATTTCTTAATATATTTTTTAATTTATGCGTGAATTTAAATTTTTTTAAATACTTTTTAAGGCCGGGTAAGATTTTTACAAAATATATTTCAAGGCCCAACTAAGGCCTTTGAAGTCCAAATAAGTCATGTTTTAAAAAAATATATGTTTTCTAAAACTATTTGACTTTTGGATTCTAAAAAGATTTTGCCGTTCTAAGAAATTATTTTCTGTTGTCTTTTGTCCAACCACAACATTTTAAAAAAATATGTCACAAGGTGGGTGATTCAGAATCCAAATATGACATGAGACATTTGTATTTTTTTGCCCTGTTCATGTTTTTATTTGCATTATGTGCTGAAAGAAAACAATTCAATTGAAAAATTTTTATGATCTCCAGTTATTGTTGTTTTTTTTCTCTCCTGCAAGGTCATAAACTCGTAAAATATTTTTTTATGAATAAAAAAAATTTTTTGTAAAATATTTAAGAAGAAATTCTAGGCTTTTTTTACCCCAACCAAATGTTCATTATCCCCCCATTATTGAAAACATAAGAAGAATCACTGGCGGAGAAGAAGATGGCTATGAAAAAAATAATGATATTTTCCAGAGCAACGAAATCATGGCAAAATGCAGAAAAAACCACAAAAAACAAAAAAAACGAGAAAACGTTTTTCGCTTCTTGCGTAGGTGGCATATTTGTCAATTTTTTATTTTTAGCTTTATTATGTTTTTATATTCTCTGCTTCTTCTTTGTTCCACTTCGTCCTCTTCTGCTTCTTCTCGTTTTCTCTTGAGAATATGTCACAACGCTGGGTGCCAGGCAGGCAGGCTGTTTAGCCTGCCGGTCATTTCAATGTGTGGCCGAATAAGTTTTTGTCACCCACAAAAGCTATGGACAAAATACCATTTCCAAAATATATATACATACGTATATGTATGAAGAAAAATCCATAAATAATGACAAACGTACATACATACACATGTACATGCCTATGAACATGTGTAGCGTAAAAACCCCGAAGCATCTTTACAAATCTCTTATATATATAATAATAATTACTAACAAATATATATTTTTTATACTCTACAAGGTGGGAGGGTATTAACACTTTGTTTTTTATTTTTTTTTTTTTTGAAAATGGTTCTCCTCTAGGCATAAGCGTGCCGACCTCGATCGAAACAATTTGTTTTGGCCCAAAAAGTAAACTATCACTATATATATACCAATAATATCATTAGAATATCAGAGGCGTGAATTTTTAAAGATTTTTTTAACGGCTATATAACAGAGGCGTGGATTTTTTTTAATAAGTATTTTCCGATGAACAACTGAGCACAAATGACCAATTAAAAAAATAATACCGAACAAAATCTTCTTGTTTTCTTTAAAAATGTTTATTCTTGTGGTCGTAAAAAAGATGATTCCATAAAATATCTCTCGAAAAAAGAAACTGTTCTGACTTTCTTCTTCTCTGAAAAAAAAAAAAAAAAAATTAATAAAAAATAAGAAAAAATAATAATAATAAAATAAATAAAAAATAATAATGAAAAAATAGTTTAAAAAATCTACTTGATATGTGAAAAAATAAGCCTTAAAAAACGATATTCTTTAAAAATATGATATGCCTCTGAAAAAATATTAAAAAATTCTACGCCTTGATATGCCTCTGAAAAAATATTATTTAAAAAATCTACGCCTTGATATGCCTCTGAAAAAATAAGCCTTAAAAAATCTACGCCTTGATATGCCTCTGAAAAAATAAGCCTTAAAAAATCTACGCCTTGATATGCCTCTGAAAATTTTTTTCTTAAAAAATCTGATATACCTATAAAGGCAAAACTATAACTTTCCAATTTATCTCGTCTAAATGGTGAGCCCATCTTGTAAATTACTAATACTTTTCAATTTATAATTTTTGAAATTTTATTTTATATTTGGAAATTCCCATTAATAATTTCATTCAGACAATTGTTTTTTAAGGACCTCAAAACTACAAGCATGGAGGAAAGTACACTTCCAAAATATGCCGTCGTCTTCTTCTTTATAAATTAAAAACAAATAAAGGGACATATTTTATAAATATGTACATATATATATTTATATTTTCCTATAATTAATTAAATATGTATATGTGCTACTTACTCTCATTATGAAGAGTATAAAAGGTAGAGACATCAAACATATCAAAATAATGCTGATATCGTTCATGTTGAAGCTCGTGTGTTGCGCTTGCGTCAGGCGTTACTTTGAAAAATAAACAAATTTGAATTGTGAGTTTTCCAAATGAAAATTTTCCCACAGAAAAAAAAACGGGCAACAATATTTTTTGACGTCGTTTGTCACAGCGGCGATGAAGATATTTTGTGTGTCGTGTTGTTTTTGTTTTTTTTATTCTGTACAATTTACTTTTTTTATGGTTTTGTTGTTGTTATTTTTGTTTTTCAAAAAATTTGCTTTAATAAAAATAAACTTTATCCACTTGTGTTGAGGATCATTGACAATCTTTTTTTCTTTTTGGTATCGTAGAGATTTGTTGTTGTTTTTGTATTTTCGTGTGCTTTGCGTATAAATATATATTTTCAAAAATTACTTTTCTGTTTGCAGAACACAACAAAAATTTCTATTCTATATATATGGTTACTTTTTTCTTATTGTTTTATTTAGTTTCGTGTTATTTTATTTAAGTAATATTTTTCTTTTTTTGAATTGTATGAAAATTTTTGTTATCACTTCTATTCTATTCGCAGCGTTCCGATCTTTTGTTGTGCGTCGTGATGGCTCTCTACTTGAATACTGTAAAGTTTAATATTAAAATTGAAATATCTGTCCCATCATCTCTATCCATCCAAAAAGAAAAAAATAAAACATTCAACCACCCGCTCATAATATGTTTATATATCTACAAGAGATCTCTATTAGCAAAGAATTATATCAATCGTTTTTATCAAATACACGGAGAGAAATGTGGTAGGTAGTTCATGTAGACATGGAGAAAATATGAAAAAAAAAAAACAAATAAAAAATATTAAGAGAGGGAGAAATTAAGAAAGGGTGTATTTTTTTAAGGAATAAGATCTACACCTTGAAATGTCTATTAAAAAGTATTCTTTAACAACATCTATGCCTTGAGATGCCTTTGAAAAGATATTCTTTAAAAACATCTATGCCTTGATATGCCTCTGAAAAGATATTCTTTAAAAAATATACGCCCTGATATGCCTCAGAAAAATGTTGTTTAAAAAATCTACTCCTTAGTCGTCCTCTAAAAAAATATATTCTTTAAAAAATCTATACATTGATTTGCCTCTGAAAATATATTCTTTAAAAATTCTACGCCTTGATATGTCTCCGAAAAGATATTCTTAAAAAAATGTACACCTTGATTTGCCTCTGAAAATATATGCCTCTTAAAAAGTAGTCTTTAAAAAATCTACGCCTTGATATGCCTCTGAAAAAAAATTCTTTAATAAATCTACGCCTTATTCTGGGTTATGAAAAAATGTTCCTTAATAAGTCTACGTATGGATATGCCCATGAAACAAATCTTTAATAAATGCACGCCTGTATATGCCTTTGAAAAAATGTTTTTTAATTCACCTACGCCTGGATATGCCTCTGGAAACATAATCTTGGCTCAGAAAAAATTATGTTTTAAAAAATCGACGCCTTGCTTTGGCTCAGGAAAAATAATTGTTAATAAATCTACAATTTGATATGCCTAGAAAAGGCCAGATATTCAGATATGAAGTGAAGTCTTACCCCATAGAAGTCATCAAGGTATTTTTCTTCTTCATTAAAAGTCCTTATTGTCTTCTCTTATAAATGACTACATTTTCACCAATGTCCTGATGTCACGATTAATCTCCACTGAACAAAAATATTGAAGTTAATAAACTATTATCAAATTATATATAGGTACATACCTATTTCTTTTAGGATGCTGGTGGCAGTGTTATTTCCAGCGATAAAATGTCTCCAACTCATGTCTTACCGAAATAACTTTGATTTGGTCTTCGGATTAGTTTCAAAACTGGAAATCCTGCTTGCAAGTTTTTGGGCATACACGGCTTCTATCAAGATCCAAGATACGGCACTATTCCCCATTAAACAACTAAATATAGCTCTTCCGGTAGATTTTTAAATCTCAATCAATGTCAATATCTTGAAAACAGCAACCAATATTCTCCATTCGATGAAGAACATCCTGGTCCAATCGTTGGTATGGGGACAACATATTTGGTCTGTTCCCGTACTGCAAGAATCTACTAGTTTTTACTACGATAACGAATTTTCCTTTATGATATCGAAGAAAATAAAATAGTAAAATCTAGTAGATTCTTGCAGGGCGGGAACAGACCAATTTTGTTTAAACCAATGACTTCGATTATTTGACGGTTACTGATTACTTATATGAAAATTGGTTATTTCAAAACCCCAACAAAAAACAGCTGATTTGCATTTTGGCGCCTTAATTTTATAAATAAATAAAAAAGTCAAATATTTGATTTGTTTCTAAGAATTCAACACAAATTGCTTCAATTAGAAATGCATTATCAAATCGGTGCTGGTTTTCAATTAATTTGCAATGTAAATCAAAATTATTATATTAATTAAGGAAATTTGAATAATATGGTTTCAATTTTCAGACCCTTAAGGACAAAACGGAAAGTGACTATCAATGTCAGCGTTTTGAAATCGCTGAACTTTTGAAAACTTTAAATGCCACAGAAAAGGTAAAGAAATTGGTGCATTTTTGCCAGTCTTAGTCAGATATAGGGTCCGGTTCCATGTCAAGTTTGGAGGCTCTGATTGTTACGTTATAAGTATTTTTCTTGCCGAAGTTCGAACTTCTTCAAAATTCCGTTGGGACCAATGTATTCCCATTTAACCGGATGTCGATTATTCGTTGTTAACAAGACCTCAACGCTTTATATGATACCTATAATGGACTATTTTATTTTAAAAACAATGCGAAAATATAAATACCCAGAGGGACCGCATCCTAATCTTGACTTGTTCCAATACTTTTATTACGATTTATTATAAATAATCTACAATCCCAATTTATTAAAAAAAACAGCTCTTAATAGCAAAATATTTCTGTAAACTACCATGGAACATTGGTAGCCTTTATGTCCTGGGAATATTACACGAATTACGTATACTAACAGCAACTGAATTTATTTTAAGGTAAGTTGGAAGCTATATTTCTTCCGTAGTAAATATTAATTATTTTGGAATTTATTTTAGTTATAATAGCAGCGACGATGTCCAATTGATATTAAATGATTTTTTTGAATCGGAATTTGAATTAATTACAAATCTGTTCATAAATTCTACAATGGGTGACGATGCAGAGAAAGGGTTTTATTTTGTATAATTAATAACAACATGTTCCCTTTTTCAGATTCCGGTAATGGGTTACGTTTAAATGAAATATTGGAAGTCTCATTGGAAAATCTATTTAAAGATTTAATTGCCAAACCGGATTTGAATAATCTGAGCTATGCGAAATATATAAACAATGCTGTGCCAGGTAAAGATAAAACATAGATCTTTTAGACCTAAAAAAATATTTAAAAAAAGAAATGCTCGCTTATTTTTTTTCTTAAAAAAATATTTTTAATGAGTCATTGAAAAATGCCATTAAAAATATTCTTTAAAAATCAGGGCTATATCTGTCATCGAAAAAATATTATTTAACAAATGTACGCCTATTATAGTTTGTAAGTCCTTGAAAAAACCTTTAACAAATATTATGGAAATATTTCTTAAACAAACCTCTTATATATTTTTATACATTATATATTTTTTACTTTTTCCTTTCTTTTCAAAGCGGAAATTCTATTAAAAATAATACAAAAACATTTGGATGTGATTGTAAGGCTACACCAAAGCAGTATTACGGCAGCATTTCAGAATTTTTCCTCTTGGATTAATGAGGGAGTTGATGAATTAAAATTTCCCAAGGATCTCTATGAAAATGTAAGTTAAAACTATATATTACAAATTTATTTTCTACAAATACAAATTTTAGTTACTTGCCAATCACCTGGAAGAGTCCTTGAATTATATTTTAAAACTGGCCAATATGGAAAATTTCCGCGATTGGAAATTCTATTTAATTTTATTGCAAACATTGTGTAGCGCCAACAATGAAAAAGCTGGACCTTTTGTGAGAAGTATGAATTCAGATCTTAAAATGTTTTTGTATTTTTTTATCACAACAACTGATTTTCAGAACATTTGAAAGCTCATTTAAAACAATGTGCCACCTTACCCGGCAAACGTTCAATGATGAATCTATTGTTGACGGCTCGAGCCTCAAATGCTGTCACCATGGATATATCAAAGAATTTAGATTTATATGCCAATTGGTATAAAAATAATATTGGTGAAATGAAATTTTTCCTCAAAGCCGACGAATTTCATAATGTTATGAATCTATTGGATCAATGTATTGCCTATGAATCGGAATTGGATTATTTGGAGGTAACATTCTAATAATTATTAGATATTTTTATATGGTTTAATATAGAATTTCTTTCTTCTAACAGATCCATGCGGCAATATCCATATCTCCTCCCGTCTTGTGTGGTAAAATTGTCCAATCATATAAGAGTAAATGTAAACAACGTTTACAACAAATTAAAAAGGGTGTTCCTGGTGTGAATGTCGATGAGAGTATTATAATTGAAGATAGCAATTAAATTCCCAACTCCATGATAGTCTCATATAAAAACAACGAATTCGAACAAGAAGCCATACTAATGTAGAATGAAATGAAAAGAAAAAAACTTATTGGGAATATTGAATGAAGCTGTCACCGAAAATATCATCTGGGCCAAGGTATGTTATTACTAAATGTTGAAACAAGTGATATGGGTGTTGAATCCACAGCCAGTTCTTTACCAAATACACGCTTCTGTGAGTTCTTGAAAAATATTCTTTTAAAAATCCACGCTTCTGTGAGTTCTTGAAAAATATTCTTTTAAAAATCCACGCTTTGTGAGTTCTTGAAAAATATTCTTTTAAAAATCCACGCTTCTGTGAGTTCTTGAAAAATATTCTTTTAAAAATCCACGCTTCTGTGAGTTCTTGAAAAATATTCTTTTAAAAATCCACGCTTCTGTGAGTTCTTGAAAAATATTCTTTTAAAAATCCACGCTTTTGTGAGTTCTTGAAAAATGTTCTTTTAAAAATCCACGCTTCTGTGAGTTCTTGAAAAATATTCTTTTAAAATTCCACGCTTCTGTGATCCCTTGAACAAATATTCTTATAAAAATCTACCCTTTTGTGAATCTTTGAATTTTTTTTTTTCAAAAATCCACGCTTCGGTGAGTCCTTGAAAAAATATTCTTTTAAAATTCCGTTCAATAAAACATCTACCCAATAAACATTTCCACATTTAGGTCAAAATATTTATGAAATGTTATCTCATAAAACGAAATATAGCTTAGTCATCATTATCAGCAAATGTATCTGATTTTCAAACACACACAAAAATATTCCATTTTAGCTTACCCTGCAACTTAGTACCAATTCCAATTGATGTTCTTTATTTACATATCGGTTATGTATAGAAAATTAAATGCCTTATCCACAATTATAAAACTACTTATTTATATTTATTATCAAAAAACTTAAAACTACAATTTCTGTGCTCGAGTACCACCCGCAATGGGTTTATAACGTTCATCCCATAATGTGACACCATCACAGGCACAAATCTTTTTAAAGTTTTGTAAAATACCAGCCGAACGGGCAATTATGCCACAAGCAATTCTGCAAAAAAGAAATAGTAAAATAAAATTAAAACGAAAACAAAAAAATACCTATGAATATAAAACCAACCTGTCTCCCGAATTTCCATCAACACGACTTTGCTCATTACCGCCACGACCCAAATCATCTGGTCCCTGTGTTATCACCACAGAACGTCCAATTATCTCATAAACCTCCAAAATATTATCCATAAAACGGAATGTTGCTCTGCCATTCTGGTCAGCTCTTATATTTCCTAAATCACCAGCATGTCTGTTATTTGCATCATCCTCCGGAGAACCATGCGGAGAACCTCGTGGATTATAATGACCACCAACGGATGCACAACCAGCTGAAACATCACCACTTTCATGAACATGAAGACCATGCAGGCCGGGTGTTAAGCCATCCACCACACCGTCCACAACAACTCCCGGTTTATCATTGCGTATTGCTGTAAAACGTATTACACCCTGTATGGGGCAACGATCAACATCACTGCCGGTTGTATTGATAATGGATACGGCAGATTGCCCGCCAAAACCTGCCAGTACTGCACTGCAACCGGTGCCCTCAATTTTCTCCTGCAGCCTATACCAGGGTTCTTTGGTATGTACAATTACCCGACCTTGTTTATTGTCCAGCTCCAATTTACCCATACCCTTAAGGGCATTTCGTATATTATCTTCCCACTTTTCGCCTTTCATTTGCACGGCAAATTCAACCTGCCGAAAGTTTATTTTTGTTAAATAATTTTTCGATAAAAATTTGTTGGATTTTTACCTTTATTTCCGCCATATTTTCTCTTCTTTTTGGTCGGAATTCAGATTTTATATTCTAGAATTTACAAAGTCAAAGATCAAAACAAAACTGCTAACAGCTGTTTCTTCCAATTGGGAAATTGGCTGTTCTAACCGGAGCTGTGTTCAATATGCAATGGGATTAGTGACGCACAAAAGACGAAGAACTCGCACTAGGTATGTTCACATTAAATTAAATGTGGTCAATTTGAGACATGCTAATGAGCAAATGGTCCTTGAAAATAATTTCTAAAAAAATTAATATGAAAAAATTACGTCTATATAGCTGATTGTTCTTGAAAAAATAATACATATATGATTGCCGTTGAAAAAATAATCGTTAAGAATTCACGCCTATATTGATTGTCTTCCAAAAAATAATCTTTTAAAATCCACGCTTATGGGGTTAATAGTAAGTTTACATTTAAACGGATTTCGTTAACCCAGTGGGTTTCAATTGTCATTTCCTTTGAATATATGTCAAATAAATCCTCATAAAGTATGTTAACCCGGTAAAAAGTTCTAATGTACAAGGAGTTTAATGCCCCTTGAAATCGACGACTATTAAGTTGATGGTCCACAAAAAAAGTGCTGATGGTCCTTTAAAAAATAATCTTTAAAAATCAGTGCCAATAAAGTGATGGCCCTTGAAAAAATAATCTCGAAAAATTCGTGCGTAAAGAGCAAATATCATAAGAAAAAATCTTTAAAAAATTCAGATTTAAGGCTCGAATTATCCTTGAATGGATTATTCTTAAGAAGTCCAAACTTATAGCTCGGATGATCCATAAAAATATTGTTTAATGTTTGACTTTTTTTAATAAAAAAATAACACTTTAAATATCGACCCCTGTAGCTCGGATGATCCTTGAAGAAAACCCGCCCTTATAGCTCGGATAAACCTTTAAAAAATAAGTTTTAAGCATCCACGCCTATAGCCGGGATTAACCTTGAAAATATTTTTTAAAATATCCAGAAAATTCAAACGTTTAGCTCGGATAATGCCGGAAAATTTTTCCTTTTTTAAATTTTGCTTTAAACCTTTTTATCGGTTTTTATTTACACTCCGATTCCGAATTCAGAATTATTCCCACTATAACCTATGCATACATAAAAATACATCTGAACACATGTAGAATTCATCGCCTGGTTTTCCCAGTTCTATGCGACATTTGTATTCTCCATCTACATTGGGCATTGGTACGTTAATTGCAATTTCCTCCGATATATCCATGTCTAGAATTTGCTAAAAAATAAAGAAATAAGAATATTATCTCCGTTACCATTTAAAATTCTCAAATCTTTACCCCCTCTGTAAATGGACATGTCATCTGTTCCTTTGGTGTATTTTGCCAATATGTAGCCCAAACTTCGCTATCATCAAATGCGGCTATACAAACATCTTCTCGTTTCGAAGTGAAAACGGTAGGTTGCCAGGCCCCACGTTCTTTTTTGAATGTTTCTATTTGAACCTGTGAATTGGGAAATTATTGTTTCTTTTTTGTGACTATGAGGCGTTCTAATAGCATAGTTACGGGTAAATTTTCAGGTATAGTTTTAATAAATTTAATAGGTCCCTTAACGATTAAATCACCTTCACTGCTGTGCTGAACCGATAAATCACTTATGTCTACAGCTTTATAGAGGAAATGCTCGGGGTGATCGTCGCATTCCGCAAATACCATAGGTTCCAAAAATTCCACGCAGTAACTGAATTGGCCGGCGACGAGCTTCAACATTTTTTTAAATATAATAAATATTACAGTTAAACAATATTCGCAATAGGGACATTTTTCCTGAAGAAATATAGGCAATTCAGAATCTACGATTGGTTTCTTCTTATTGAAAATTGATATCAATTTCAACAATGTTGGGATTTTGCATCCTCAAATGTTGATTTCTTTGCTAATATAATTTAGAAGCTATATATTCATTTTCCATTCTCAACAGGATATTCTCCTGGTTACTTACCACATTTAAACAAAATAATTCTGCAATTAATAATAATAACGGAACAACAATATTCATTGTTAAACAATTAATGGAATAAAAACTAGTATTAAAATAGAGATTGATCGAAACATTGTTATTATATACAGTTAAATATATCGTGACAGATTGTTAATTATTTTATTTTGTTATTACTAACAAATTAGATGATAATTTGAAAACAGTAAACAGCCTGTATCTTAATTTGGTAATCTACATGATTGCTACAATGTAAATAATTAAATAGGGTATTTAATATAAAAAATAGGGTCTTTAAATTCCTTGATAGTTGTTGATGGGGATATACTTATGTGATCTATCAAAAAACCCGACTACTTCTTTTATAAACTGTCATGACTTTTTAAAGAGTACAAAAATTCTTCTTCCAGACCTATAAAGCTGATGGTCCGTAAAAAATAATCATTAAAAATCCACGTCTCGTCCTTCAAAAAATATTCTAAAAAAATCCACGTCTCTTCCTTCAATAAATATTCTTTAAAAATCCACGTCTGGTACTTGGAAAAAAATATTTAAAAAGCCATGACTGGTCCTTATTTTTTCAAGGATTTTTATACACGCTGGCCCTTTATTTTTTCAAGGATATTTATCTACGCCTGCTCCATGAAAAATAGTCTTAATAAATCCACGCCTGATGTTCCTCCAAAAAATAATCTTTAAAAATAAAAGCCTATGCAGCTGGTAGTCCTTCGACAAAATCCACGCCTATAAACATGATGGTGTTCCAAAAAAGAACTTCCAAATCCGCGCCTATAACGATGATGGACCTTAAAAAATGTATCTATAAAAATCCACTTCCACAATGCTGATGGGCTTTTAAACAATAATAATTACTAATTCACGCCTTTAAAGCTTATGGTCATTGGTAAAATAATCTAAATAATTTTTAAAAATACAAGCCTATAAAGCTGATGATCCTTGAAAAAATAAGCTTTTAGACAATCCAAATACTCATACAGCGGATATTCCTTTATAGCTAGAAAGATCCGTATAAAAATAAGCTATTAAAATCCTCGTGTAATCTCTAACAATTAATAGTCCATATAATCCTTAAAATAAATATTACGTCCCAAATTTGCTTTTTTCAACCTTTTTTCATTGCTCGGTTTTTATTCGCATTTTTATTTTTCTAAATTAGAATTAATCCGACTATAATCTATGCACACATACATATACATCAGCACACATATAGAATTTATCACCTTGCGTTCCCAGTTCTATGCGACTTTTATATTCCCCATCTACGTTTGGCATTGGTAAGTTGAAAGAAATTTCCTCCGATATATCCATGTCAAGGATTTGCTACAAAAATATGGAGTATATAAAACCAGTTGTGATTAAACATTTTGCACATTTTTACCCCCTCTGTAAATGGACAGGTCTTTTGTTCCTCTGGTACATTTTCCCAATATATAGACCACATTTCACTGTCATCAAATGCGGCTATACACACATCTTCTCTCTTCGTAGTGAAAACGGTCGGTTGCCAGGCACCCCTTTCTTTTTTGAATGTTTCAATTTGAACCTGTAAATTGGGAAATCATTTTTATTAATATTTATGGGGACCATGGGGTTCTCGATCGGCGTACTTACCGGTAAATTCTCAGGAAGTGTTTGAATAAATTTAATAGGTCCTTTAACGATTAGATCACCTTCACTGCTGTGCTGGATCGATAGATCGGTTAAATCTACAACTTTATAAAGGAAATGATCTGGCTGATCGTCACATTCCACAAATACCATAGGTTCCAAAAATTCCACGCAGTAATGGTATTGGCCGGCAACAAGCTAATAAAAAAACATTTTTTTAAAAAGAAAATCAAAGTGAGGGGACGTCAGAATCGCCAATTGGCGGCGTCATATTAAAATTCGATATCCATTTCAACAATGTCAAGAGTTTCTTAAATGTTTCCTTTCATTGCAATTATCCTTGGAATATTCCAACAGAATATTCCTATTAATAAACTTACCACATTGGAATAAAATACTTTTGCAATTAATAACAACAATGGAACAACAACGCCCATTCTAAAATAATTACTTATATTAAAATTGAGTTGGATCAGATCATTGGTTTTATATACATTTTAAGATCTCGTGACAGAATGTTAATTATGTTCTTCGATACTAGCAAATTGCATGATAAGTTGAAAACAGTAATCAGTCTAAATTTTTTTTTGGTAGTCTACGTGCTTTTGATTGATGTGCACAGTAATAAATTATTTTAATATAACAATTATGTACACCGTTTTTGACATATTTATACGATAGAAAAGCGGACAGGACTTTTTAAATATCATCACAGATAATCCGGGATATATTGACATATTTTAAGAGAATATTTTTCAAGAATAATCTAAATAATTTAAAAAATAATTTTTACAACTGATGGTCCTATGAAAAATAATCTTTAAAAATCCACACCTTTAAGGCTGATTATTTTTAAAAAAAAATAATTTTTTAAAATCCACGTCTAAAAATCTGATGGTTCTCCTGAAATTAATTTCTACAGCTGGTGGTCCTTTAAGACAAAATCATTAAAATCAAAAAATAAGCTTTACAACTGATGGTCCTTCAAAAAAATAATCATTAAAAACCACGCCTGCAAAGCCGATGGACCTTCAAAAAATAATCTTTACAGCTGATGTTCCTTCAAAAAATAATCTTTAAAAACCACGCCTGTAAAGCCGATGGACCTTCAAAAATTAATCTTTACAACTGATGGTCCTTCAAAAAAATAATCTTTAAAAATCCACGCCTGCAAAGCCGATGGACCTTCGAAAAATAATCTTTACAGCTGAGAGTCCTTCAAAAAGACAATCTTTAAAAATCAATGCCTAGACCTTTAAAATGGAATCTTTAAAAATCCACGCCTGCAAAGCCGATGGACCTTCGAAAAATAATCTTTACAGCTGACAGTCCTTCAAAAAGATAATCTTTAAAAATCAATGCCTAGACCATTAAAATGGAATCTTTAAAAATCAATGCCTAGACCATTAAAATGGAATCTTTAAAAATCCACGCCTATTAAATCCAATCCTTTTAGAACTATTCTTACATCTTTTAAATTTGTTCTTCTATATAAACATTAACGCAGACGATCCTTGAATAATATCTTTCTAATAATATTTTGCTTTCAACCATTTATGTATCGGTCGGTTTTTATTCACATTCCAATTTCTAAATCAGAATTCTTCCGACTATAATCTATGCACACATACATATACATCTAAACACATATAAAATTCATCGTCTTGTGTTCCCAGTTCTATGCGGCTTTTGTATTCTCCATCGACATTGGGCATTGGTACGTTAACTGCAATTTCTTCCGATATGTCCATATCAAGGATTTGCTATAACATAGGGGGATTATAGAAACAATTGCCATATGAAATTATCAAATTTTTACCCCCTCTGTAAATGGACATGTCTTCTGTTCCTTTGGTATGTTTTCCCAATATTTAGCCCATATTTCACTTTCATCAAATGTGGCCAGACACACATCTACTCGTTTCGTTGTGAAAACTGTTGGTTGCCATGCACCTCTTTCTTTTTTAAATGTTTCAATATTAATCTAAATTGGAAAATATATATTTTTTTATAACTGTGAGGTTTTCGATTTTCGATATTTACCGGTAAATTCTCTGGTAGTGTTTTAATAAATTTAATTGGTCCTTTAACGATTAAATCACCTTCGCTGCTGTGCTGGATCGAAAGATCACTGATATCTACAGTTTTATAGAGGAAATGATCGGGGTGATCATCACATTCAACAAATACCATTGGTTCCAAAAATTCCACACAGTAGTTGTATTGGCCGGAAACGATCTAAAAAATATTTTTAGAAACCTACTGAATATTATATTAGACTATATTATTATTTTCGTCTCCAAATGGTATCCTTTTGTCGAAAATCGATAGCCATTTTCATAATGTCAAGAACCTTAAAAAACGTAAAATTTAATTTAAGTTTATTCTTCATTAAAAAATGAAAGAAATTGTAGATTATTCTGCATAAACCTGCAGTGATGAAAATAAATATCCTTTTGTTTACAATATCATCATTGTCCATCAATTGCAGTTATCCTGAATGTATCCATCAAAATTTGTAACCATTCGTCAAAGCTGTCTATATTATCCATTTTCCTCCCCAGCCACCAGAGGGTCTTCTCTTTATTTCACTTACCACATTTAAACAAAATAGATCAGTAATTAATAATAACAATGTAATAAAAATATACATTGTTTAATAATTAGTTGAACAAAATCTTGTATTAAAATAGAATTTGAGCAGATCATTGTTTTTATATATAGTATAATATCTCGTGACCGAAGGTTATTTTTTTTTTATTAAATACTGACAAATTACATGATGAATTGTGAAAACAACTGAAATCAGTCTAAATCTTAATATTGGTAATCGACACACTTTTGAAGGATACGATGTAAATAGTTATAAACATAGGATAATTAATATAACAGTTATGTAGTACAATTTGTTGGTTCTTTAGGAGACCAGATGGTATTTTTTAGGACTAGAAGGTATTCTTCTAAAAGTGCAGACGGATAATAATACCTTCTAATATGATCTGACCTATAAACGTGAATTTTTTGTAGAAACATAAGTGCTATGAGCGTAGTCTTTTTAAAGGATTTTTTTAGGATCATCACATCGCAGGATCCTCAAATTTTCAATGATAATCTGAACTATACCAGAACTTTAAGACCAGAACTTTTTATGTAAAATCAGAGGATCTTGTAATAGAAGACTAGAGGTTCTCCCTATAAAATACGAAAAGATTTTATTATCCTTGAAAGATATTCTCTAAAGAATCAACGCTTATAGTCTCATTTTTTATGAAAAATGCCAAAATATACTTTGTTTAGATAAAAACAACATACTTTTTATTTAATTCAATTTTTTTTATTTTTTAAATAAAATATGTAGATATTTATGCAAAATTTTGATTGACTTCAGGTTATACAAAGGGAGTATTCATGTATAAAAAACATAAAATTAAAAATAATTATAAAAGATTTTTGAATATAAAAAAGTATTCATATATATACGTTTATATACATAACTTATTGATCTAAAATACTTTTAAATTTTTCCAATAATAAAATATTATTGTACGAAGTAAGAGATTTATTGAAATGATTATGATGCAGTTCATGAATGTGTACAAAACACAATATATCGCAATTGCAGCTACTACACAGAGCCGCATACAATTCCTCTATGTGGGTGGTGAAATTATCACAATGTCCTTGCAGTATTATTTCAAAATTTTGATTAAAAGAAAATTCAATATTTTTAAATGCCACCACAGATAAATGACATAAAATGGACGCAGCATAATGACTGAGAATGGGTAGATTTTGAAATTTCACAATATTGGGTTTGTGTTTGAGAAGATTTTCCAGAAAAGATTTAAAGAACAATTCCTGTTGTTGCGAAAATGTGGATGCAGTATTGAAATCATTATATTTCAGAGAGTAGTTGTCGTTGGGAAATTGAATTTGTGGTTCACCATGCCAGAGAACATCGGTGGCATGTAACTCATTTAATTTGGAACGCATGACGAACAAATGTACATTGGCAAAGAGGGAACTGTGTAATGTCTCCAAGGGTTGGCCTTTGTAGAGGGTAATTGCAATTGGTTTCTTTGCCTCAGGCGATGATTGTTCTAAGCCCTCAAAGGTTTGCCATGATTCCTTTAGAGATTTATCCAAATCATTTAATTGTTTGCGTAATTGAAAGATTTGTTCCTCCATTGTTATGCCCTTTAGCATTTCCCGCTCTGAATGAGATCCATGATAGATTTGTGTCTTGTAACTTTTATCAATGGTTGCATTATACTTATAAAGGATTTTTAATTCTTCCGGAAGTTTGACGACATTGTAGCGTGTAAAATATTCATCACATACCCAGGTACGTAGGGTCTGTAGACGCTTGATACTTGCCTTACTGGGTTTGATTTCAAATGAATAGATATTTGATTCAATTGCTCGCGATTGGCAGTTCATAAAAAATCGACACATTATTTCGTGTTGCATTAAAAAGTCCCTTGGCAACGAGGCTTTGGGAAATAAAGGCAACAGCGCGGAATCCCCATTTAATTTCTCACGTAATTTTGGTAATATCTCTTGTAATTGCTCATTATTTTTCTGATAGTCCAAACAAATGACATAGACCTCGGAATTGCCACGCTTCGAAGTACAGGGTTTAAAGACATGCACCTCTCGGAAGACACAATTCAATAAATATAATTTACACAGCGAAGTCGATTCGAAGAGGGTAAACATTTTCACCACAAAGGAGCCTCCATTTGCTAGAATTTCTAATGCCGTTACAATTTCAGCAAAATGCAAGAGATCCACTTTTTCCTCTTGACAATCGGGGGCATCGATGCAATCTATTGATCCGTCGGCTGTAATCAAATGGACTTCACCCAGACGTTTTTTACATTCCTCTTTCATATGTTCGACATTTTCACTGCTAATAATGTTGCCGGTGAAATCCTTGTGAAATAACCAATTATCCAGCGTGTACAACATAAAACGATCATCCATAATCATTTTCTTTACGGGGTTACCTTCGTAATAGGGATTTAAGGTGGTGGCCAGCCACTGCCATTTAACCTGTAGGAGAGATTAAAAAAATGTTATTTAATTCTTATAGAATACTATATACGACAAGAATATCTCATACAAAAGTGGAATATTGTCTTCCACTAGAAGACCAGAAGGACGAAGGCCTTTCTAAAAATCCACGACTATTGGGCTAACGGACCCACAAAAACTTTTTTAATGGGGCTAATGGTCTTACAAAATAATGGCTTTTAAAAATCCACGCCTATCTCGCTAATGGTCCTTCAAAAAATTCACTCTAATTGGGTTTACGGCCCTTCAAAAATTTGGTTTTAAAAACAACACCTTTTGAAAACTTAAACAAATTATTAATGATTACCTCTTTACATGTGTAATCCCATTACAACTTACCTCATCTGGCTTAAATCTGGTATAGATATAATGATTAAGGGCCGCAATAAATGCTCCTGGTGCCTCACATAAATGCAATGAATTCACCTGTGGCCCTTTCACCAACTCGGGAAATCTATTTAAACACTCAAATAGTTTACACCATGCAATGGTTACAAATTCCGCCTTCATCTCAGATTTCAAACGCCATGGTATCTCGCCAGCAGGATCCTTGCGTCTGGTATGCTGTGACCATTCCTCAATGACATAGTCATTGAGTTTACTCTTGACATCGTTTAGCTTGATTTTCAGCTGTTGCAAGCTATCCAATTGATAATATTCGGAAAATAATCCACCAGCAGTAGATTCTGGTGGTAGGGTCCAAACTGAATTTTGTAGTTTCTGATAACTGAAACATTTATGGAACATTGCCATAACATCATTGTAAATAGAATTTTCATTGTTGGGGTTCGGTTGTTGGTAATGATAGCCGGGAATATTTGTGGCCGGAGGAGATGATGAGGTGCCGGCACTCAGACCACCACAACCATTTCTCAAAACTGGACCGGGCGGGGCTAAACGAGTTTCATGGGTTACTTCCATGTTGTGAAACTCGTGGGGAATTCTATTTTGAGTCTTAAATTTCTTATCGGTTTCAATATTGGATGAAATTATTAATTTGCAAGTGTTTCCCGTTTCAGATCGAATACACAATGGAGTCGGTTGCAAATTGCAATTCGATTATAGAACCTACAAAATATAAAAACGTTCCACAGGCTACAAATAGAAGAAGACAGAAGCGAATGTAGAACAAAAACAAAGTATAGAAAAAGGTGAAAATCTAAGAAAAAATATTCGGATTCCGCAAAGTGGACTAACGGAACTGTATCATTATGACCGAAAGCGTATGTATTTTTTGAAATATTTCAACAGGTCCGGAAAAGTTATGTTTTTTTTTAAATATTCTTAGGACTCAGAATCGTGGATTTTCAAAGAATTTGGAATATTTTGGTCGAGGTAAGTGGATTTTTTAAAACTACTTTTGAAGTAATATTGAGACTAGAAGCGTGACTTTTTAAAAATGTGTGTTTAAGGCATAATTGAAAACATTTTTGGGGGACTATTGAATGCCTGGATATATTAAAAAATAGTTTTAATGGATTTATTAAGGAATATTTTTTTCATGGCCTATATAAGGCGTGAATTTATTAAAGAATGTGGAACAACTCTAGTTTAGTAAAAACGATCAAATTTTTCTGAAATTTTTTCCAGAGGTAGGTATTTTTACCCTAATTATTGGGATATCTTTTTTTCTTGGGGGACGTACCCGGTTACCCGGTTATTTGACCCGGAAGTTCGGGTACGGGTACCCGGTTATATCCGGTTCTACGGATCCGGTTAATATAATATGGGTATCATTTTAAAGGTTATAAAAATACCTTTCCATTGAGTGGTAATATGATGGGGTTATCTCAAACCACTTTGGGGATATAGCCAAAAAACTGGGTTTTGGTCCCCGATTTTTTTGAAAAACTCCCTAAAAGTCGAACTTGGGTCCATTATAGTCCCTCTCCAAACAGGACCCAAATGATAGACCACAATTTGCTCTTTCCAAAATGGTGCGATATGTAGCTGTATCAGTTGTGAATCAAAAGATATGGGCCTTAGAACCCTATAAAAACAAGGAAAATCTTTCTACATGACAGAATCTCCTTTTAAATAGCATGGTGTTTTTTGGGTGACCGGCCTTCGGCCGGAGATTTAAGACTTTCTCCTATGGACAGATACCAACACCGGCTACGCGAAAGAAATTCCTTCTAAATATAATGTTTTTTGTGTAGCCGGCCTTCGGCAGAAAATTTAAGACTTTCTCCTATGGACAGATGCCAACACCGGCTACGCGACAGAATCTCTTGTTAAATAGAATATTTTTTTTTTTTTGGGTGAACGGCCTTCGGCCGGGGATTTATGACTTTCTCCTATGGACAGATGCCAACACCGGCTACGCGACAGAATCTCTTGTTAAATGGAATATTTTTTGGGTGACCGGCCTTCGGCCGGGGATTTAAGACTTTCACCTATGGACAGATGCCAACACCGGCTAACGCGGCAGAAAATCCTTCTAAATAGAATATTTTTTGTGTAGCCGGCCTTCGGCCGGGGATTTAAGACTTTCTCCTATGGACAGATACCAACACCGGCTACGCGACAGAATCTCTTGTTAAATGGAATATTTTTTGGGTGACCGGCCTTCGGCCGGGGATTTAAGATTTTCACCTATGGACAGATGCCAACACCGGCTAACGCGGCAGAAAATCCTTCTAAATAGAATATTTTTTGTGTAGCCGGCCTTCGGCCGTGGAT